AAAATTTTAAAGGCAGTTTATAATAAAATGAAAAATAATCTTGATTACAAAATTGGTTTATTTTTTATAATTTTTACTATTTGTTTATAAATAATATATATCATTTCACCAAAATATGCAATTGGAACCATCAACTAAATTGACAAATCTAATTATCTATTTTGGTAAAATAATATATATTACTTATAAACAAATAGTAAAAATTATAAAAAAAATAAACCAACTTCATAATCAAAATTATTTTTTATTTTATTATAAACTGTCTTTAAAATTTTATAAAAAAAAACTTTTAAATGCTAAAGAAATTGCAAATAATTTAAAAATCAAATTGACAAATTTTTTATTATTAAATAAGCTAAAAAAGCAAAAATTTTCTAAATTTTATATATAAAATTTGAGTGTCTCAATTATTTGACCTATATAAAAAATTTTACACATGTGATCTGCACGACATATTATATAACTAATAATATATAGTCAAACCTCTCTATAGTCACCTTCTATATAAGCATATTTTTTTATTAGTCTATTTTTTTAAAAACAAACAACTATTAAATATAATAAATTTGATCTCTACAATTGTCATATTTCTTTACAATCACACTTTTCTGTATCCCAAGTATGTGATTATAGAGAGGTTTGACTGTAATTATATTTATACTAGCACCTTTAAAATACTGTATATTATATTGCAATTTGTCAAATATAACAAAAAGTATTTCTGTTCAAAAAAGAAATAAAAAATATAAAACCCTAGTTTTTCTATAAATATAACATGAAATCGATAAAGGGATACTGCACTAGAATTGATATGTAACATATCAGTACAAAGTATACAGTACAGTTCAATGACTCTTGTTAATATAATAAAAAAATTGAGTTCAGGCTATATACCAAAATATTACCTGATAATTCAAAATTTATCTGTTCAAGATCGGCACGAACAGATTCAGAATACAAAATCTTATAGTCATTAAACATATAATCGTTTGTATATCTATGTATAATTCAATTTTGTTAGATTGTGAATATATACAGTATACTGAGATTTAATCGCAATATGTTATTTCTCTCGTGTTTGGTAATTTGCCAGCATACATAGAATCTGGAATCGACTGTTAATGTTTGATTATTTCATCTGCTTATCAGAATTGTTTTTTAATTTCATCATCAATGATCCAATTTGTGATCATACTGTAGAATAAACTTCGTTCGTTCCAATGAATTTGAATCTATGCATATTTTTGCTAATTCAACATAGCAAACGGGTTCGGGAGAAAACTCTGGGCGTTCTCCATTATAAATTCTTATTACAAGACTAAATTCAAATGGAATTTCATCAAAAGGCCTTTGTCCGATTGACACTTCAGCCATGATGACACCAAAGCCGTATATATCGACTGCTTGTGTAAAATTTCCATTTTTTAAAAACCTCTGGTGCAACATACGGCAAGACTTCATAAACACCAAATTTTCCTTGAAAGATTTCAAATTTGGATATCCACCAGTAGGTTGATGATATAATTGTTGCTACTATGAAGATCGCAATGAACAAATAAGAGTTTGTGCTAATTCTTTGGATATATCAGCAAATTGTGTATTTGAAAATTTGTTCTTAAAAAATTACGAAGATTTCCTTTATTAACCTATTGAAATACCATCAAATATTCATTAGTTATTGTGTTTTGTGTTAGCCCATATACCTCTAACCCACTAAACACGTTACTTCTAACATATAATGCATATAATTTTTAAATTCGCTGTGTAAATAAAATATATATTAATAAGAATCATTCATGTTAGTTAGGTCATAAGTAAATAGTCTTAACTTACTTCTTTTTAAAAGTTTTTCTCTAGAACTATGCAACGTCTTGAGAACAACTATGTATGGTGAAACACGGCTTTGTGAATATCCATAATCGTGACCTGAAATTGACCTTTTGCAAATTGACCATTTTACTGAAAAAATTGAACTAAATTCCCCTACACCAACTTTTTTTTAATATAATCTATCAAAAGGAATCCATTCAATAATTTTGTCATATTTTATAGTTTTAATGGAATCATCAACACCCTTAATTCCACTCGTCCATCCTTGAATTATTTTTGGAGAATCACATCTCTGATACCAGGCTTCTGAAGTATTGCGTTGTTTACAATTTGCACTTCCATACTGTATTTGTAAAGCTAGGTTCTTTTAAGTATCAACATGTATTCATTTGTGGATGTGTTTTTGGTAACTCTGTATACTTGTATGCAGCTTTTAAACTTAAAAAAATGTATAAGTGTGAGATCACATATACCACATGATAAATATAAAATCAAAAATTTAATCCGTGAATCATACTGTATATGGCGGTGAACGTACGTGTGACTGATGTGACGATGTACGAACGTAGATGATAGTTTATATATTTCTTAAAATCATTCGTATACCATTGTGATGGAGTATATGGTACACTTTGTACGGTGAATAGAGTTGGGAGGACCTGAAGCATATTGAACAAAATCGTCAAATGAAAAAAAAAACTTTTCGAAGGCTTAACGTAAGAATAAATCGATCGAACCATCACGTGGTCCAGGTGATGTTCGATCGTGAAGGAAATTTCAGGGATGATAAGTAAATGACGCAAACATTGATTACAAAGTCAGTCAGAGCATAGTAATTTTGCATAACAAATGTCGTAATAGAATAGAAGCAAAATGGGCGTGATTAATAATTAATTAAAAAGTCAAAATTTGTATGATCAAAATATAATGTACAAATCGAAAGGGCAAAAATAAAGAATTAATCAGTACTTCTCTCGTAAAACAACGTCCCAATCACAGTAATTAAATACAAACCAAAGTTGTGCCTTGTGTGATCTATAAGTTTATTGCCTTCGCTCTGCCTTTGAGGTAGATGTTAGTCTCGACGACTACTATTCACTCCTTAGTCACCATCTAGCCAGGTTGCTAAAAACTCTTCACCAATCACCTGATGTTATCTAGTCTATCAAAAGGAATACATTTAATTACATTGTTATATTTTGTAGTTTTAAGTTGAAGTCCCTTGATGTAATTAGCGATATTCTCATTTCTACTTTCTGAAGCATTTTATTGTTTACAATGTACATATATGCCATACATATGATACAAATGATAAAATGAAACGAAAAAAAAAAGACAGAGATAAAAAAAGATACGATTGATAATGAAGTAAGAAAATATCGCAAAAAGGTTATATGAATTCAAATTGATGACGGAACTTGAAAATCGAATCAAGGTGTTTGGAAACGATGGAATTTATAAAAATAAAATTAGTAACAAAAAATGTAAACGATAAAGTTAATAATTTACCTAATATAACCAAACGTGATCAAGAAAATTGAATTCTCAAATAATTGAAACTATGCGTGCAAGAAATAAATTCGTAATAGACATACTTCAATACTAGTTTGAATAATAGTTTATCTGATGTTACTTTTATATTTAATGAAATAACTGACTATATACAACTATATACTAGTTATATATTTTTTACATTCACTTAATAATTCACTTAATAATTCACTTAATAAAGTTGATATAAAAATTTATTTAAAAAAAAATCGCTAACTTTATTATTAAATAGGATTACAAATTTATTTTATTACACTAATAATCAATAGTTACAATATATCGTAGTTACAAATAATATTTAATAATAACTTTATTTTATAAATTAATAAAATACATCGAAATTTAATAACTATATTATTAATACCAAGATAAAAAGATTTCTTTAGTCGATAAACTTCAAGGCGATTAAATTTCTTCAATCAATAAACTTTCAACCTAGTAAAAACGAGTGGGGGGTAAGTAATTGAAAAGACCTTGTATACTCAGGATACAGTATGTCAACACGCGGTAGTGAGAACGATTCCAAGAATATAAAAACATTCTTCATCCTCCTCGTCGATAACCACGTGTATTACCGATTCTACTACCGTCGATGTAACCGAGCCTCCTCGGAACTGTCCAGGTTATGTTAATACATTAACGTGAGATCAATTACTTATCTGTTAAACCGCGAAAATACCGTCGAAAATACGTCGAAAATACGGCGAAAAAATAAACGGCGAAAAGATAGACGAAAATACGGTGAAGAGATACGGCGAAGAGATACGGCGAAGAGATACGGCGAAGAGATACGGCGAAGAGATACGGCGAAGAGATACGGCAAAGATACGGCGAAAAATAGAGTGTATAAAGCAAAAATTATATTAAAATATGTGAATGTGAAAATAAAAAAAATAGATGAAAAAAAAGTAACCCTTATATATTTTTTTTAATTGGCATGTTTTGTCACGATTTGTAAAAAAAGACAAACGCGTTACAAATTAAAAAGATGAAAAAAAGGGGTGAGCGCGTGCCAGGAACATCTCATCAGAAAAAAAAAGATGAACGCGTTGCAAATTAGAAAATTTTCCCAGGAACATGATCTAAAAATAAAAAAAAAGGGATGAACACGTTGCAAATTAAAGAAATTTTCCCAGGAACATGATCTAAAAATAAAAAAAAAAGATAAACGCGTTGCAAATTAGGAAATATTCCCAGAAACATGATCTAAAAATAATATTCACATTTCACGGAATGCCGCAGAAGCAGAATCACGGAATTGGTGGATAAACACGGAATGCATCAAAAATAGCACGGAATTGTTGCCAAATTATGCATTCGGTAAATTGAAAATTATACGAATTATGCGATTTTTGAGTTATCTGTTATTAGCCAATAAAATTCAAAAAACATGACAAGTCAGGTGATCACAGTCGCATTTACAAGCCGGTTTATTTATTTAACCAATCAAATTTTGCATGAAAGTAAAGTATGGTGCCGTAAATAGCTAATTACGACAATTATATTTACTACATATATTTTTACACAAACTTTTTAAAACTTTAATTGTAGTAAATATTACTATGTGTAGTAATTATTACTACATGTCGTAATTATTACTACAAGTCGTAATATATAATAATAATTATTACATGTCGTAATTATTACGACATATAGTAATTATTGTTACATGTAGTAATTATTATGATATGTAGTAATTATTGACATGTAGTAATTATTACATG